GTGAAAATTTGATGAAAATCGGGCTGTTTTTGAGCGCGCAGTCGCGATTTTCCGCACAAGGCCAAAAAGGGTGTCCTGTAACCTTAAGTTTTCCAAGCGAAATGAAACGTAGCCTATTATGTAATGGCACAACAAGTACTCGTAGCCAACACAAATCAGCCGATAATTAAAGGTGATCTACAGTCCGTATGTAAACAAAGCCTTTGTTTACATTTTTGTGTCCAAAATATTGAGCTTTATTCGACAACTATTTATATTTTCAAGTTTCTAGAGTATAATAAATGATCAAGAAACAACAATCAGGCTTTTCAAGAACTCAAAACATAGTTAAACTGTTTGTATCATAAAAAGTGGGCTCATTTGTGCACATGCGCAGATAGGACTGTAGATCACCTTTAATGTTTCTAAAATCCTAAATCAATTTAGTATTATTAGACTGGATTATGCTTCTCTTTGTCCCTTTGCATATGGGAAGTTAACATTGCTACGCCATTCGTTTAGAATGTCACGGAAAAGAAAGACGAACCAGGGATAAGTGGTGAACAAAAAACTGAAGGTAAAATAAAAGTAATTGATTTGATAATTTGTTTACTTTCGTTTTTTTCGGTTCGTTTAATTTCGGTTTGTAACGAGCCGTTGTAGTAATATAGGGGCAGTTAGGCCACTTTAGAAACACATGGCGCCAGTAAAGAAGTAAGACTCATGAAATAACGAACGATAAAATAATATGTTTTTACAGAGCAATTCGTATTCTCGAATTGCAAACAGTCACGTGAGTGACTAGCGTTAAACCGGACGTTCCGATGTTTATGATAATATCAATATATAATTACTAATGTCAATTAAACAATATCAATATGCCACATATGGCGAGGGGTTGACTAGTTAAAAGCCGTATGTCGTTGACAAATTTATCAAGTGTGGAATACCATTAAAATTGGTACAACCTCCAACGAATACGACCGGTAATGGTTAATAAGTTTCTTAATAACAAGCCACTATATAACATATTACACTGGTTATAAATCTATTAACTCTAAAAACTGTAGATATCAGTTCACGTTTTTCTCTAGTGCTTCATCACATTTACCAGTGAGTGAAGTTTGAAATTATCATCTTGGATGATTGCAGTGATATTCAACCATTTTGAAGAGCTTGCAACCAAACTGACGTCATAAATTGGCGGACATATTCACACTCATTTACATATCAAACAAATTGAAATATCGCGGGAACAAACCATAAAAACAAGACTCTGAATATTAAGTTACACTACAGCTTAAAGAGTTCTTTCATTTAAGAAAATAAGAAATTTCATGTCATATATATATGCACTTTAAGTGCCCACATTAAGGTCGGTTTCCATTGCAATCACTTTGCCTATGCGGGCGGAGCGGGCTCCGAAAAACTGCTCACGCTGGCGTGACGGGAGTCAAATACTTAAATGAATGTAAATATCAAGTTTACCAATTAGGTGATATAAATACTGTTTTTTTTCAATTTACTAAACACCATTCTTCAGAAGCATTTGTTGATATGCTGTATATCAATAATTTTTTTACCAATTATAACCAAACCAACTCGATTAACTGATCACTCGAAAACTCTTATCGACCATATATATATATACCAATGCCCCTATTGATAATATCACACCTGGGAATTGGGCTTTTTCATCTATCTCACCATTTACCTGTCTTTTGTTTAATTAATATGGAATAAAAAAAATATTAAGGAAAGGCATTTCTACAGGGACTTCAGTGCCTTCAATAAAGAAGCATACCTAAATGTTATAAATTAGTGTCGCTCCTTTGACATTACTTGTTATTCGTAAACGTGCAATCTCTAAAAATTAGCATAAAAACTGTAAAAAAATTTTAAGTCAGATTAACAAACATGTAAATGTTATGCATGCATGTTAGTAGAAATAGTTTTGGTGGGACTTAATTGGATCTTATTTAAGGTCTGTTGTGTCCTTTTCTATCCATCTTTTGTTAATATATGTTATCATTGATTGTAAAGATAACACAAAAATTTGATTAACTGGAGTTGCATTTCGAATGGTGATACTCCATCTGATCTATACTTTAACTGCCTGCAGAGTCATGGATATTTGACTTCTGTTATAAACAAAGATGCTCTAAAAAGTTAGCCTTACGCAGTAAAAATAAGCAGCTAACTAAGCCATGGATAACGAATGGTATACTTAAGTGGCAGCATCCCCAACAGCGATCCGTCGAACTTCCCTTCAGAAAACCAATTTCTCTGAACCCTGGCACATCAAAAGGGTTTGGTATAGAACTAATAAAAATGGAATACCTTTTAATGGAAATCTTTCTTTTTTGCTTTCCTAGAAGCTCGAACTTTTTTGTGCCGAGCCGGTTCATTTGGTCATTCCTATCAAGACCGAAATTTTGCCATATTTAGGACTGCACCGTATCAAAACTAAACGCGCTGGCAAAACGTTTTATTCGCCATTTGTTTTATTTAATTATCTTTACTTAGGCAAAATACTTTAGAAATGTCAAAATCATTGATTGCTTAGTTGATAAGATATCAGCCTTGAAAGTCAGCGCTCTGTGCAGGTTTGCGAAGTGCACTAAATTATAACAAAGTTCGGAAGCAAAATTCGCGTTTGTTTGACCAAAATTAAAATAAAAATTACATCCATATGCAGATGATAACTCTATCTCCAAGGTGCTAAATTCAAACCTTCGGGTATGCCGCTGTGTGCGAAGCGGCGAGAAGGTCAATTTGGTCAAGTTCGCGCTTTATTTACATAAAATAACACTTCGTAATCCGCACTGAGATTCATCAATTGCTCGCCTAAGAACAACCTCGTTCCCGGGCTCTTTGTTCTTGGGAAGCAAAGACCCTGGTCGGGGCTGATGACGTCACACCCAGAATCTGGGGTTAAACGTATAATTTGACTATGGGTCGGGAGGTAGAGGAGCGTGTTTGTTGCGTTTGGAAAATTGCAACTTTATGTGTTATAATTTCGGGTGATAAAAATGTAATTTGCAACAAGGGATTGTGAAAGGAACGTTCTAGATTCGTACCGATCATGACAAAGACTTCCTGCTATACTGAATGTCATCAAAAATAAGTGTTGCGTTACATTTCAAGCGAGAAGCTGGATCATATTTCACTTGCAAGGAAAACGCTCCACACGCGCCTGGCTTGCGAGGTTTAGCACCTATCGCCGTAGAAACATACATATCTTCTACACAGACTGATCGATCAAACGGTATTAAACGAACGATATGGTTCTTTATAGTTTAAGTGTATCCTGTCCGCTATTCAAAACAAAAGATTTATTTTACAACGGATCCTTTGATTTCCCAAACATCGCCAACATGTGTAAACAATAGTGCTATTTTGACTGTAAAAGCACAGGATTAAAACCCGTTATGGACTGGCTATAAAATTCATTTAATTTACATTGCTGAAACTCAACGATCAAGAACGATAATGTCGAAGCTAGTGTAGCTACAATCTCTTGCAAAATAAAACGTGCCCTCATGATTTTGTAAGGCTTATCCCCCTTTCCCCATCCAATGTTGCGATTTGAAGTCGAAATTGAAAAGAAAGGCCTGAAACGGTGCTAACAATCACTAACCAACATTGAAAAGGGTGCGGGAGCATGGAGTGTCTCGTTTATTTTGCATAAGATTGTAGCTATCTGTTATCACACAAACGCCAAGACTCCTCCGTGCGTTTCCGTGCGTGCGGTACAACTTGAATATCTAGGACGATATATGCACCAGACACTGGTATTGTACTTTATATAAATTATTTCCTATTTTGTGTATACAGTAATTTGCAACATGTATAATATTAGACCTTTCATTGACATTGGCATTGTCCATTGAGGGCTTTATTGAAGAATAATCCAGCTTCTTTAGACTTGTATAATGGATTAATGCCGCTGTGAGTTATCAATATTTAAATCAACTTTAACCTTTATCGTATTCCGTAACCAATATTTTAGAAGTTTAGTCTGTATTACCAAACAATACTGGAGGCAAACAACCCATCTATCCATGGAAACTTTAAAAGGTTTATTACAGTAAAACTCATTAATATAAGCGAGACGTGTGCATATACAGTTTATGAATTATGTATATCCCGATAAAACGTTGGACACTTTATACCAGATGTAATAAAAAATACTTTGCTAAACCTTTTCTGCTGTCATTCCTTTGCATTTAAGGGGAGAGAGTAAATGGCGATAGAATTTATAGGAGATGCTGTGCAATATTTTGGCTTCAACAAACAGGTACTCGTGCTGATCGACAAAAAAGGAAATTCATGCAGTTGTGAATTGTCGTATGTCAGCTGTGCACTATCGATTTCAAACAATTTTGTACGTTATTTTTTGTCTTCTTGTTGTTTAACATAAACGATGATAACCTTTTAAAACAAATCTAGAGCAATATGTCTATAAACAGTTCCAAAATCAATAAAATGGACATTCAATGTGTTTGGCTTGTGTCCAAATGTGTCACGTTTAAGACCGGCAAGGCGCTAATCCTACGACCTATAAACAGTCGCTTTTGAGACATCTGTTTAAAAAAATTTATACCGTGTCCATATCAGAACAATTCATTGGCATATTATAAGCATATTATAAATATCAGAGCCAGAACAGAAATGTTCGCGTGAAATGAAACTACGCCCGAACCGGCGAACTCCGAGAAAATAAAAATATTTTAAAGCGTACAATTTGCAATTTATAATAGCTTTATTGGCATGACCTTAAATTACAGGTATTGCTAAAGCATAATAATCTAAATATAAATAATCTAAATACAAATAGTCTAAATATAGTAAAAAGGTAGAAATTCCAAGTTTACAAATAGTAAGAAGTACATGCATTACAATAACTATATAGTCAATCCCAATAACACAAATAACAGATAACCAATAAGATCTATTTACAAGATATAGGAAAAATTTTCATTCAACTTTCTAAGTTTAGAGAAATAGTATGTTAATAATTAACTGACAGCAATCCCAATTTCAAGGTATCTATTTCTTTCCGTAAAACAGGAAGAAATATATTTCGACAGAGATAAAATAGTCTCGTGCTCTGTAGATTTCATTATATCTACTAATTGTGCCTGATCTATGATAATGGTTAGCTTGTTTCTGAGAGTGGTGTAAAAATTCTCTCTTTGGTTGCTGTAGGCTTTACACCAATTTGCAAAATGGTATTCATCTTCCACTTCCCCTGACTGGCAGATTTCACACAGTCGTTCTTCCCTTGGTATTTTTTGATAGCGACCTAACTCAATCATTAATTTGTGGTTGCTCACTCGAAATTTTGTGAGTGCTTTCCTTTCGGTTGGATTTTTTATTGTTGAAAGATATTTCTCTAGTTGGTATTCTGTTTTGAACGTGTTGTAAAACTTTAGTTTGGAGGAGTTTTCAAGTTTGTGTTTCCAAAAATTAAGATATTTTTGCTTTATGTTGTCATGGATAAAGCTTAGTGTTTGAATTGCGATTGATTCCAGTTCTGTTATTTGTGTGTTGCAGTTATAGGATTTCAAAATATCCATAATATTTCCATAGAACGAGGTAATTCGTTTGGAGTGTAAGTCTTTCGAGATAAGAAAAGCTTGTTTGGCAAGTGCTTCTTCAGGTAGTGAATTTAGATGAATAATGTATTTGAATAGTTGCTTGTAAATATTGATTATCAGTGGAAACTTTCCTAGTTCACCTCTGCAAGCAATATTTGTTGTTTTCTTCCCAACACCCAAGTATAGTTTGCAAAATCTCAAGTGTGTTTTTTCAATCTGAGAGTTATCCCAATTGTTAAAGTCATTTTTGATATAAGCACCCCACACTTCTGAGTTGTATAAAAGAATTGGTGATATTATGGTATCAAATATTTTGATAGCTAGTTTTGGGTTTAAATTGTGTAGATTGAGATGTCTTCTTATACTGTATAGGGCATGAAGTGCCTTTTCACCAAGTTGTTTCATAGCTAATGTGAATTTACCATTTGAGTTAAGCTTAATTCCTAGGTAGCAATATTCTTGTACAATTTCTATGGTATTGCTGTCTAATGTGAAGCTTGGTTTAGTCTTTTTCTTATTTCCTTTTTGAAAAATCATTACTTTTGTTTTCTTTAAGTTAACCTCCATTAGCCATTTACTGCACCAATTTTGGAGTTCATTTAGGCATTTTTGTAGTCCAAATCTTGATCTAGACAGGATGATCAAATCATCAGCATAGAGAAGACAGTTCAATTTTGAGCCATTTGGCAGTATGAAGGGGTCTGAGTCAGTATTATTAAATAATGTTGTTAGCTCGTTTATGTAAAGGTTGAATAAGAGTGGACTTAATGTGCATCCTTGGCGAACACCTTTGGAATAAGGGAAGAATGTTGTTCTGGATTTGGATAATTTGACTGCACATTTAGAGTTAGAATAAAGGCTCTTAATTAGACGATAAAAATTTCCCCCAATTTTGTATTTTAATAGTTTAGAGTATAGGCCTTCATGCCAGACAGAGTCAAATGCTTTTTTGAAGTCAACAAAGCATGCATAAATTTTATTGTTTTTGTTTTGGGTGACATGCTTATCAATTAACGTTTTTAGGGTGAAAACGTGATCGGCTGTTCTATGTCCTGATTGAAATCCAATTTGCGAATGGTGAACTAAATTATTTTCTTGTGTGAAATCATTCAATCGTTTATTTAGAATTAAACAGAAGAATTTGCCAATACAACTTGTCACACATATTCCTCTGTAGTTGTTAGGATCTTGTTTGTCTCCAGATTTAAAAATAGGGGTTAAAAGACCTTCGCACCATTTCTCAGGGAAAATTCCACACTCTAGAATCATATTAAACAATTTATGATAGCCTTTAAGCAGAATGTTCACACTAAATTTTATCATTTCGTTCCTTATCCTATCAGAGTAGGCAGATTTCTTATGCTTTAGTTTTGTAGCTGCACTTATAATGTCGTCTTCTGTAATTGGGTCATCAAGAGTGTTATTGTCATCAATGTTGTTTTCAAGAAGTTCTAAATTTTTAAGGATACCTTCTTGCTTGGGGCCTAAGTTGTGTTTTGTATGTAGATTTTCAAAGTGCGATATCCATTTTTGGTTGGTTATTTGTGTTGAGCTAGAAGAGAGATCATCACAGCTGTCACTCATGTTTTTCAGGTTTTTCCAGAATGAATTTGGGTCAGTCTCGGCAGCTATTTCCAAATCCTCGAGTTTTTTCTCATGAAAAATTTCTTTTTTATGTTTCAAGGTATCTTTATATATCTTTAGAGCCTCATGGTATTTCTTTCGAATTTCGGAGTTCAAGGGATCTCTGTGTTTTTGATTTGCTAGTTTTCTGACAGAGTGCCTTTTTAGACGACATTCTTTGTCAAACCATTTTTTGTTACATACATTTGTGATTTTATTTCTATATTTAGTCTTTTTAATTCTAAGTGACTTCTTAGCCGCATCTGAAATTATTTCTTGAAATTGATTAGAAAAGTTATTCAAACCTTCTTTGGTTGCAGGAGGGTTTGAATTAATTAATTCGTCAAGTTTTCTTTGAGTATAAGTTGATTTCAAGTTTTCCTTGAAAGTAGTTGCTGTGTTGATCTCCCATATAAACTGTAAGGGGAGCTTATGTGAAATTGTAGTGGTAGATGTATTTGTAGGAGTGGGATAAGTGGATTCTGGAGTGTTTTGTTGTTTTGTTCTGATCCATGTTAAGATTTGACTGTGGTCAGATAAATATGTTGGAGGTTTTACAGTGAAATGTTTAATATTTTGGATTAAATCTTGGTCACAGATGATGTAATCAACTAGACTGGTTCCATTTTTTCCATGGAAAGTTGGTTTACCAAATGAATCACCTAGTGTTCTGCCATTTAAGATCCTTAAGTTACAGGTCTTACATAGCTCAATTAAACATTTTCCATGGTTGTTCACTGTGCTATCAAAATTCTCCCTATTTTTCGGGGTGTAGGATGTTTCGGTAATGTCACCTATAAAGGTACTTCCTTCTTTGGACACAAAATCTTCTAGTTTATTTGTGCGGGCATTGAAATCTCCTAGTAACATGATGTTTCCTTTTGTGGAGAATTCTGCAATATCATTTTCTAAATCTTTAAATATTTCTTCATCATAGTATGGTGATTTTTCTGGAGGAATATAAACACCACATATAAACAGGTCATGTGGGGAATCCAAAATTGATTTATCAATACGGCACCATAGGAAGTTTTTAGTTAATTTTTCAGTGTAAATCAGTGGCTGAAGTGTATTCTTAATTAACAATGTGATACCGCCTGATTTACGACAACTAGAATTTGTTTTAGGCGTTGCCGTACATGTAGATATTTCCTTGAAACCAGGAATGCTGTCAGTTTTGTTTGACCATGTTTCAACTAGAAAGATTAAATCATGATCTTTTATATTTTTTGTGAAATCAGAATTGCTTAGCTTATTGCCAAGTGTTCTATGGCTTAGACCGTTTATATTCCAGGCGCTAATAGTGATACTGCTGGAATTCATGTTTTGGATTAGAAAGATATATATATATATATATATGTGGTTGATTTGGCTGACCTTTGATAAGCCAAATATATACTATATGTGTAAGTATAAAAAAATATATATTTTAATTGGTTTTGTTTGTGGCTTAGTCATGTGCACTCATGTGTATGTTTAGATATATGCATACACACAAATCCCCATGAGTATTAGAATATGGTAAGATTATAGAATTTATGAGATGGTTTGATTACTTACAGTTTCTATTGAGTGAATCCATGAAGGATTTGAATTAGTTCTCTGAAGTGACGTGGTATATGGTTGCTGGCCATGGGTTTTGAGCTTGCGGCTTTTGTACAGTCATACGTTCTCGTTGCTTGATTTCCTGAATTTTCTGTTGCTATAAGAATCTGCATTTTAGCATGTTTGTATAATTTAAAAGCAAACAGAAACCAATTTAGCAAGTGGTTTGAGGTATATATGATTCTCGAAGATGAATTAGATCATTGTACAGAACGGGCCACTCCTTGCAATCGAAGTGCGGAAGTGGAAACATGTAATATGAGACTTTTCCATCCCCCCCCCCCCTTCGGCTATCAATTTTCTATGTGTGACGTCATCAACCCCGATCAGGATCTTTGCTTTTATACATATAGGAGATCTAGATTGCTAACGCATACCTAGCGCAGCTGGGGCCTACATGATAAATCCAAGATGGCGGTACAACAGGGCAAAGAGACTATAAATTGTATTACGAAAATCAGGATTTTTGGAATTTTTGCCGTCGCATTGTTTTGAAACTTATTCGGTCAAATTTTATGGTAAAGAGAAACTTGCCGCGAAGCTTTTGAGCATATATATGATTGAATTGGATGAAAACTCGCAAAATTATCCAGCGATAAAAGTTTGTCTATAGTACTGACAGGGGCGGATCTAGGGGTAGTCAGATTAGTCACGCGACTAACGTAAAAAAAAGGCATATAAAAAAATTTGGACTAAGGTTTTTGAATTTTTTCCCAGCGCAAACGCTTCTCTTCATATCTGATCATGCAATCAAAACTACATCAGACTCCAGCATATAAACTTCGATCAGTTTTTGCACATTGAGCCAGCGATTGATTAGTCAAACGATAAGTCAAATAAGCGGTATTGAAATGAAAATTGACTATTCTGCATTTTAGTTCATGTGACTTGATTGGTCAAATTTGCTCAGATTACACATTACAGGCATGTTGATTGGTCAGACCTATTTTGACTAACGATTGCGCAATTTTGACTATTTTGACTAATCCTGCAAATAGATAGCAGCTTCTGATTGGACAATTTGCGCAAAAGAGTTAAAGAACATCTCCTCTGATTGGCCTTCTAATCTTCAATTTGGAAGCACTGTGCACTTGGTAGCTCTGTTGCAGCTCTGTACAATTTTACAAGCAAATTATTTCGCTTAATCTTAGTATATTTGTTGAACTATTTTCGAAATAAAGAGTTCGAAAGGGTTATATCGTTATTTGTTACGATAAGGGATGCTTTCTGGTGTTCTGTGGAGAATATTTCAAGCTGATAAATTCGATGGATGCAAGAAAATTGTCTTGGCCGAAACTATGATGTGTTGATTTCTCGTCGTTTATATTTTCAAAGAGATTAATAAGGGGTGTATGGCAATAAGGTAAAGTGGTTTGAATTTTGAACAATAAATCGTTGAATTGAACGTACGATTTGCATAATTGTGCGAGGTTATAGGTCCAACGTTTCATATACTGCATACATATTCATTTATATGTGTATAAAATTAAAACAAGTGGCAGAAACTTGATCTCAAATATTTGATCATGTTGGATAAAAAATATTTATTGTGTACATATATGCTTTATAGAGTATTGATTGACTGATAGTAGCTCTACAAATGTACTTTATAAAGTCATAAAGATAATAATAATATAATCTTTGGTTATATTTTTTGATCTAATGCAATTTGCAATTGCCTGTATAGCTCTGTTTCGATCCTAAGCATTGACAGGTACCAATGACCTATAAATTTGACCTTGATAGTTTAAATGTTTACAGTGCAAGTGTGAATGGTCTATACAGTAGGTCACTTTT